AAGCTGTGGTTGTGTGCTTGACACCTCAGTAACAAGTTAAGATGAGTAGCTAATCCTTTATCATAGGAATTTTAACACAAATAAAGGGGGAGAAATCACAAAGCATGGCATATGGCCTAAGTCCACTCAATGCCCCAGTGTTTCAGCTCTTATCACACTGCGCATACCAAGGTGAAGACTTTTTTCCAGGGGAATTTCGGGGCCATCAGTTTTCATTATTTCCCAGTACATATGAGCCAACAGCAGCTTTGCCTGTGTTGCTTATGACTATTTCTTATGCTCCATGAGAAAGTGGTGTTGATTTCCCTCCATCTCTCTGTATCACATAATAAAATTAACTGTTGCTATTGCAATCAGGGTTGCCATACCTGCAAAACTGCTCCCCTCCCCTCCCACCCATGCATTAGGGTTGACAAAAAACGATAGTTACAAGAAATGGATAGTCTTGCTTATTGTATCATAGTCCACAAAATTAGGTTAATTTTCCAAAAATGACAACTGGGTCTTCCCTGACAATGTTTATATCATCAGATTTGTTCTCGTGTGATGAGAACGAATCTGATGATATTCTCCGTCGGATTCTCCAGCCGACAATCTTGATGTGTTTTCATAAGTCCCGATAGCAGGGGAGGGCATGAAGTAGATCAGGGAAATTACGGGGTAAAACAGACTGAAATAAGCAAAATAGAGAGCAGAAATGTGTAAAACAAGCACAAAAAACGCTTAAAATCGAATAATGAAACTCTACGGACATCGCCGCCATCTTTCAAAGTCTACGGACCGACGCGCCAAATTTCGAAAAACTCTACGGGAACCAAACCCACCGTTCGGTAAAAATCTACGGGATTTCACATAATCCAGATCCCCTGTGATAATCGTACAATGCGTCCTAACCAACAAACCAACCTAACCTAACCTAGCCTAGCCTAGCCTAGCCTAGCCTAGCCTAGCCTAACCTAACCCTGTGGGATTTATACACTACGATCTATACATTCCCTAGCCAGGGGGCTCTGCCCCCTGGACCCCCATGGTATTAAATGCGCCTAGCCAGGGGGCTACGCCCCCTGGACCCCCATAGTAATATACCACATACCTTTATAAAACGAAAAACCGAACTATTGTGCGCTTCCGTCCATGGTCAGAACTGCTTGGTTTCTAATCACTTTTTTTGGCATTTGGGGCACTTGTTGGGCTCAAATATCAGGCTTGTGATTGAGAATAATGTCTATTTGTCCTGTATATCCACAATATAGTTTAAAAAATAACCCGATGTCGACACAGCACTTGAAATGAAACATTTTCCACCGGTGTTTCTGAGCGAATGGCGGTGGGTCGACCTGTCAAATCTCCCGGTGAAAACGCGCATGCGCAAAAGGTTATTGTATAGAATAACGTAAATAATTACCAAAAGACGCAAGAGAAGTATAATAAAACTAGAAGAATGCATTACATACATTAATTCAGAGAATCAGACGCTAGTAATGACAAAATAAGCGTTCTCACAAGCGCGTAGCAATACATGGACTACTTGCTGGATCGCAGTAATGAGTTACGCGTCACAATTGTTTTGATCTCGCAAGGTAAACATGGAAGGGGACTTAGAAAATGAAGGGTCGAGCTTCTCTCTTCTCTGTCCTATATCTCCCTTATTTTAGATTTGCGCAGTTGTTGCCATAGATGAAAAGTGTCTTACTTTTCGTCAAGGTATCCATTCCATACACTTATTTTACTGTACGATTGGTTGACATGCGCGGAAAATTTTCCCAAAATTATACCCACAGAAAAAGTGGCATCTCCCTTGAAATTGGTTAGAATTGTAATATTTTCATATTTTTAACTTTTGACCCCCCATACCCATCTACTTTTTGTTAACAATGTTGTCTTTTTTTTGTAGGCGAGACCTGTGAAGGAGCGCAGGTTGAAGCAGTGGGCTTCACTTCCAGAGATGCAACTATTGTCACTAAGATTGCCTACATTGCTGACTTCACACTGTCTTGTTCCAATGGTGCCAAGGTATGTATGCGACCTGAACATGTTGACAGTGGAAGGGCATGGACACCTCCCCGTCCATTGTAATTTTAGTTTGGTTTTGCTGAGGCCATGATGGCTTTGAAAGCGAGAGGCCACAAAGAGAGTCCATTACTGAGCCTACCTGATCTTAGATGCTTGCCCTGTTCCTTGTCATTTTGGAAGAAAGTTTTCAATATTACTGATAGTATAGCTGATAGAACAATGTTAGTGTCCATGAAAATAATGATAGTTTAGGAAATAAACTACTTCACAAACGGGAATGGGATAATTAGGAGAGGTCAGGCAAGTCTATTATTCAAATTTTGTTACCAGTTCTTGTGAAGCCATCTGTGCGGTAACAAGATAAATGACAATGGACAATGCACGAGTTAACATCATTATTTATTTTTTGTGTGTGCATTAGGGGAGAGGGGGTGCTGAGTCTGGAATAATTGATAATTAATAATGATTTAGCTTAATTCCATTTGTTACAATGGTCATGCTTGGTGTGACAGGCTACCTGTATATATTAGCACCTAAATTACCCCCTGTGTGCAAGGAATGGCCAGCATTACCATCTACTAAGGATCTTTCTTGTATTCATATTTCTGTAATATTTATGATGGACTGGTACAAAATTCAGATAGTTTCTTATGTAGTGGCAAAAATATTTTAGGAATTTTTAATTTTGCTAGTACTGTTTTTTTCTTTAATTTCCATACTTAATTAAAGCCTCTCTTTACAGGATGTTTCTCTGTATGCTGAAACCGCTGATGGCATCGTTGGTGTTGCACGCTCTGTAGATGGTCTGAAGTATGGAGTAAGTGTCTTGGGGTTTAATTTGATTACTCATTTTTTGTTATCTACTTTGAATATATAATTTTTGTTAATGAACACTATGGGAAGTGGCTGCGAGTCGTGTCTTTTACTGATTTCATTTGAAGTTGTGTTATCCATTAGGTAATGATAAAGGATGCTAAGAAAGAAATTTACTTGCAGGTCAGCTGGATTGAGGATGTGTCTGCAGCAGCCTCTGGAGATCACCCCATCAAGCTCTATGACGAACAGGGATATGCTGCTCTCAGAAAGGTAATTGGATGCTTAGTTTTAGTTTCAAACCGCAAAGGGGATTTTGTTAGCCTTTTTGAATCCTTTTATCAATATATACATCTTGTTTGGTATATGTCAGTTCTGTAATCATTTTATTTTTCTCTCTCTCTCTCTCGGTATTGTTGTAATGGTGTATCTGTTAGTGGTGTTATATTTAGAATATTGAATGTATTAAATTAGGAATTGCTTTACTCATTCAAGAATTATTCTTTCTTCACAGGCTCAGCGTGGCAATGAAGACTCTGCCTCAGTCACACCCATTGCCACCATTAACCTTTACCATCCTGTAAGTTTTCAGTTATCTTTTGCATTTATTGATAGAATTAGTACATTGTAGGTATACAGAAAGTCCGTTAAAAGTGGGTAGATGTAAGAGTGCATTAATTTCTATAGACTTTCATTTTTTGTTTCAATAATGATTCTCTAATATATGCCATATGAGAGTAATCTCTTTTCCCCATTCATATTAAAAAATTATGTACAAGGTATTGCACTTGCTCTATTTATCCAGTCATTTTGACCTTACCCAGTTTTCATGTTTGGCTAGTTTGCACATGGGTATTTGGTCCTGTATGAGATATGGTTCACTGTAAATAGAGCTGATTTTTTGTCATTTGTGATAGGGAAATAAAGATATTTATTCATTACTACAAAGCACAGTTTTTCATAACTTTTGTCAGGATGTTGTGTTTGTCCTTGCATGGGGAATATTATTTATGCCCATTTTTTATTTATTATTTTCTTTTTCCTCCCATTTAGTTTTGAAGCCTTATTCTGCCTCCAGTCTTGCCTCCCCCTTTCTATTTTTATTTCTCATTGTTCTGCAGTTTTGTCCTCCTGCTTTTTTTCTGGCAAGAGTTGTCATCAAGTACACCGATAAATATTTTAACTATTTTATTCTTACTTTCCAGGGAGCATACAAGGGTCCCTGGGTGCAGTCTGAGACCATGGCCATCATCTTCGCTATCCTCATCTACTACTATGCATTCACACTTAAGGCAAAGCTTGTAGCATAGTCCCCTTGACTGGGGATAGTTAGCTCCGATATCAATGAAGTGTTGTATGTGTGCATGCTCTAAAAAAAACATGCAAGTGTATGATATTTATGGTGCGTGAGGTTTCAGTAGCAAAGGGCCTCGTTGCATTATCTTTCGGTGATATCGACAGCATATTGTGTGAATGTTTCATGTTTCGTGTACAACTTCGGGATGTACGTGTGAGAACCAGCATGGTGTGAGAGGTTTAAAAGTTGTAAATTTTTCAAATGTATTTGGAAATCATTTTGTTATAAAATATGAAAAAATGGTAATTTCAACTTTTATTTACCTTTCATTTCTAAAATTGGGTATTATATAGTTTAATTTCCTAGATTCTAATTAATTTCAAAGTGAAGATATAAAACTTCAAAGTAGATTATACTTCACAATAGAAGCCTTATGATAATTACCAGCCAAGACTTAAGAAAAATACAAAGGAATCCTAGGATATTCCATCCGCTTTGAATGATCATTTTAGATTTACAAAAAAACCTGTGACCAAAATTAATACCCTTAAGAATGAGTTTGGCTGTACTTCTAAGTAGAGTAATGTGTGTATATGTAATAGGAAATAGTCAAATAATAGCCAAACTTGGAAAGGTGGTTGTTGTTGTTGTTGTTTTTTGTCAGGGAGAGGCCTGAGAAAAATTCAACATTGACATTGGGCTATATTACTCATCCAACTTCAGAATTTTTGAGTGATTATCTTCAAAGATGATCTACACTAAAAATCAAATTAGTCTAATATGAACTTCAGAGAATGTGATGAATGAAGTAAGATAAAATAATGAAGACTTTTCTATTCATAAATCTAAGAAAAGGGCTTGTCAATGATACAATAGA